TCTGGTACAGATCTTTCCTGGTTCTCTGGCTTTCCCTTGCAGAGTGTCTCTGCTAACAGTTCTCAACACGTGTCCCCATCTGCTCCCTGTTCACTCCAGTTCTAGGCCTCTAGTCAGGGTGGAAGTTCTTGTGTCAAACTGGAAACAGCTTCCTGGAGTAACAGGAATGCTCACATCTGCCAGACCAGTTCTCAGGGACTCTTGGTGAACCTTGGTACATCTTAACATTCCTTTCTCCAGACTTTGGACTGCCACCTTTTAGGTAGCAATTAGAATGATCTCAACATGCATGGAGTTTGAAGTTTATTACTTCGTTGTGATAACTTTGTAATCACCTTAATAAATTGATTTACATGTAGAGTGGGTTATTGCTGTTAAGTATTTAGTCTCCAAATACTTGAGATGAAAAATGTCATCCCAGAATGGAATGATGTAGAAGGGATGATACCATTGCCCGCAGTTTCTGCTGATTGGACTCCATCCTGGATGTAGATTAAGAGCTTTGCTGTCAGTGAATACACATTTTCTCCCTCCCTTCTCCCACCTGCTTGATGCATTTCTTCTTCCCTCCCTCCCCTCCTCCTGTCTTTCTCCTGTCCCTGCTCCTCCTCCTGACGTTTTATGCAATATAGTTTCATGAATCATAGTCTCAAGAAGTACAGTAGGCTCCTTGAATGTGTTCCTCCTGCCTGGAATGTGTTGTGTGACCAGCATGACCCCAGTCCTACCTCAGCTCTGATAACTGCCATTTCCTCCATTTCTGTGAGTTTAACTTGTTTAAATTCCACATCTCGATGAGGCCATGGGCCAGTTGTCTTTCTGCCTTCTACTGTCACTCACATGGCTTCCAGATTTATTTGTGCTGTCACAAATGGCAGGTTTTCCTTCTGCGTAAAGGCTCAATAGCATCCAATTTTGTGTATGTACCATACTCTCTTTATCTAAGAGTGCTGCCTCTTGGCTTGGGTATCATCTTCTTTGTCTGATTTCTCTTGTCCCCATTTTTTTTTTATGACTATCTTAATCATAGTCAATAGGGCCAGTCTGACATTTACCCTACTGCAGACGTCTGTAGGTGACCCTGACCTCGAAAACTCTCTGAAATGAGAATATTACCCAACTACATTGTCCCTATACTGTGTCTAGGAAACCAATGTGATGCACTTTCACAGGCCATGTGTGAACTGCTAACAGGAAGGACTTAAGACTGAGGGTTTTGATAAAACTATTTATAGGGCTAATCAGACTACGTGATCGCACCCTTCCCAGAGACCAGACAGTGAGAAGACAAGCCACAGAGAAGAAAGTGATACAAGTGATGCAACACAACTCTCTCCAAAAGCTTTCAATGACACAAAAGAGAACATTTAAGTGGCCAGTAAGCAACATGAAAAGATCTTTGGCTCAATTGGTAATCTGATGTAAATTCAATTCCAGCTGTGTACCAGTGACCAGTCACAGACTGGAAAAACCAAAACATCCAGAGATACTACAGACAAGACTGAAGCCAAGGTTCACACATACACCACAAGAAAAAGAGGAACTGGGACATAGAGTGAGGTTGGCATTTTGAATGAAGTATCTCATGATTCATCATTGCACTCAGCAGAACAGACCCAGGGAAATGTGCACACGTGTGCACTGAGAAGTCATCATCCAGCAATAGTCAGAGCACTGGGGCCTTTCTTTCATGAATATGAATGACCAGCAATGACATGTAATGGCATGGCCAGTTGAGGTGGTCATGGAACTGTGGATATGGGGAATATGGAAGAGGTGTGTCTGTTGTCCTTCATGGCTGATAGTTTGCCTTCTGGGAGGTTCTGTGCCACTGTCCCCTCTTGCATCGTGTAAAGCCAGCTTTGGGCCATGCCCCCGGGAGGTGTGAAGACTTCACACTGCTGTCTGGTGATAATAGGAAGGTCCCCCAGACGCTCTAAGCCTTAAACATGTACAGACTTTTTCAAATCGATGAGACATAATTTCTTCGACAGTATAATTCTCTTGAAAGTCTTCAGTCTGCTCCAGGAGTCAGTCAACTCCCCGGGTCTCTCACAGACCCAGTTCTTAAGCTGTTTACTTCTCTCAAGCAGCCTAACTCCCCGGGTCTCTCACAGACCCAGTTCTTAAGCTGCTTACTTACTTCTCTCAAGCAGCCGACCATAAGAGGGGGTGCCTGGAGTCTGTCTGGAACTTCAGGCTTCAGTACAAATCCTTAGACCTTGAGTCTCACCTTAAGTGTGTCTCTTAGTCTGGCTGGGAAGCTTCAGTGGCCTTTGGAAAATGCTCTGGGCAACCCTGGTTGATTTCTTGGTTAGGGCATAGAAGCAATTGACTTGTCAACTCTGTGGAGACCTGCATCCTGACTGCATTATCTGTGAACACTGCAGTTTGGCCAGTTCTAACCTGTACTCTTTCTGTGATACTTTGGCCAAAAAACTGTTGGAAGGAGCAGCTAGCACACATTAACAATGTGGTTTTTATGTAAATGCTTCCTGTAGAGCTAAGAGCTTAATAGGCGTGTGGGATGTCCTTCAATTATTTGCAAGTGGCTTCCTTGCCAAATGTTTTTGCCACAGAAAAATGACACCAACTTTCCAGTAAACAACACCAATTTTCTTGTCTCCCAGCTGTTGAGACAATGTCACATACTGTAGGCTTTTCAACAGCAATAGCATTTCTGTGTCATTTTCCATAATCATAAGTCTGATTGCTTTGACAGAGTCCCAGCAACAGTTTCACATCTTAAGAAGTCTACTTCTTTCTTATGGGATTATCCAAGGTAAGCCTTCCAGGCCTTGAAGTGCCTTGTCATACCTACTTACAGAAGGAGCCATAGTTCTTCCATCTTGTGGTTCCTCCATGATCAGTTAAGGCTGAGTCACTTCCATGGCTGAGTCCCAGTGTGTGGGAAGAGGAAGAAGACTGAGGAGACACAGGCAGGAAGATGTATCCAAGAGGTAACATTCACATCAATGCACATTCCCTGAGTGGAAAGTTCACCTGTCCAGCCATATCTAACTGCAGGGAGGGGGGATGTGATGGGTCAGTCGGAAGTTCACCTGTCCAGCCATCAGGGAAGGGGATGTGATGGGTCAATCAGAGCTATATTACCCCCCAATGTCTTTTTATTGGTGACTCTGCAGTGTTGGGGGTTGGACACCGCTTTGTGCCTGCTGGGCGAGTGCTCTGCCCCTGAGCTACACCCCCAGCTGTTTACTCTTTATTTTGAGACAGGGTCCCACTAGGTTGGCCAGGTTGGCCTTGTGATCTTCCTGCCCCAGCCTCCCTGGTAGCCAAGATTACAGGCCTGGGCCCCCAGGTCCTATTCACCCCCAACTTTCCAGTATCATGTTTCAATTTCCTCTGCAGTTCTGAGAACAGGGTGAGACTCTGTTTCTCATTAGAAGCTGCTCAGAGATGGATAGAAGACCAGAAATATAACAGAAGAATTCTGTCATGTGTTTTATCTATGAAGATGCAAGCAACTTCATATACTTTTAAATGATTAAACCAATGTGTTTATTTTCATTTTAAATTTTCTGTATCGTCTATGTGTTTATTATCCACTGAGTCAATGTAAAGGGGGAGGGGTTTTATTGCTCTTTTATTTTACTATATATATATGGCAGGGTCATATGCACCTCAGGTTGTCCTCAAACTCAGCGTGTAGGTGAGACTGGTCTCCAGTCCCCGGTCCCCCTGCCTTAGCCTCTCAAGAGCTGGAACCACTGTTATGTGCCGCCACAAGCGGTGTTTTCAAGGCTTTATAGAGGTGTAATTGAGAAGTAAGAATTATATATATATATATATATATATATATATATATATATATATATATATATTTTGGTTTTTCGAGACAGGGTTTCTCTGTGTAGCTTTGCGCCTTTCCTGGAACTCACTCTGTAGTCCAGGCTGGCCTCGAACTCACAGAGATCCGCCTGGCTCTGCCTCCCGAGTGCTGGTATTAAAGGCGTGCGCCACCACCGCCTGGCCAAGAATTGGATATATTTTAACTGTCTATTTGAAAGGAGGGGGTTTCGTTCTATGGGTTATGGTCTGTGACGAGGAAAGCAGGGAGCCGGCTGGTCTGGCGACAGGAGCATGGGAAGGGGGCAGGTTGCAGTGCAGCACAGTGACAGACACAGAGGGCTTTTGATCCGTGTCTACATCAGGACATGTCTATCACAGCCCGATACTTAACACAAGTATCTTCTCACATAGAGCTCATTTCCACTGCCCCCTCTCTCTTGCTAGCTCTCCCTCTCAATCTCTACGTGTGTGTGTGTGTGTGTGTGTGTGTGTGTGTGTGTGTGTGTGTGTGCGTGTGTGTGTGCGAACAATACTGAGCTACTGCCAGGCAGTGGTGGCGCACGCCTCTAATCCCTGCACTCAGGATACAGAGGCAAGTGGATCTCTGGGTTCAAGACCAGCCTGGTCTACAGAGTGAGCTCCAGGACAGCCAGGGCTACACAGGGAAACCCTGCCTCGAAAAAAACTGAACTACTTCCTTTGAGGATCTCAGGTATGACTGACATGTCCCATAAGCACACGCTATGCATCACATCTACAACGTACTCACCGTGTAGTAAGCCAGCATCCTTTGGGCATCAACTGCTCCCTCCGACGCTAGCCCCCGGTATCCACCTTCTACTGTTTCTGTGAGTTTTACTTTTTCACTGTTTTAAATTCTACATGTAAGAGAAGCCATGTAGAGAATTAGCCTTCCTGCACCTGGGCATGTTTCACTTGGTAGGTACTATTGCAAATATCAGGGTGTCCTGTGGTGTGCTCCAGGATGGCAGGCAGAGCTGTTGCTACCCAGAGAGCCCAGGGGTCTCAAAACACCTTACTATGGGTGTGCCTCGCAACATGATGGACGGCATTTCTGGGAGATCCCTGAGTGCTGTGAGATGGTGGTCACCATACAACCCTGCAGAGGGATTCTCTCTATGGCCTGTCCTGTCTGACTCTCCTCTCTTCTCCTCTGTCCTCCACAGCCTTGTGTTGGAGCCAGAGCACTGCCGCACTGCCTTGTGGGAAGGAAAAGCGCCTGTAACCTTGGAGACACAGCGATGGCAGGGCAAATGTCCCCTAGGGAGGTCAGCACAGCACCAGGTGCACTTGTTGCTTCACTGGCCAGGACACTGGTGAGCTCCCAGCAGCCTCTCAGCAAGTGCCAAGTGCAGGAATGTGTCCTGGAGGACTCCCGACGTGCAGCCCGGACAGCTAGACAGCTGCCTCTCTCTGATAGTTGAGTAAATTCCTTTCTGGACTGTCCATGCCAAAGGTCGTTTGAGTCAAATCTAAAGCCCAGTGTTGAACTGTGTCACTGATAGAGATGGTGACCACAGGCCACAGGAGACAAGGACAGGGCAGAAAAGTAATTCCCATTTGAGAAGTTCCCTGCCGGAGAAGGAATGCAAGGAGGGTTTTTATCTAAAGCTTTGTAAGACCAAAACAAATCTCTCTTTCTTTCTCTGTCTCATTCACACACACAAACACCAATGTACACACACTTCACTCACATACAGTGTCACACATACATATATACTTACACACATATGCATACACGCACATTCTCACACACTCTCACACACACCTAAGAATGACTGCCCGGTGTGTGTAGTCTGGTGCTAGTAGGTTTGAAAAGAAAGGCCTTTGTTTCATAGGCTTTCAGATCGGGAAGGCAAATGATAACTGCCATTAAAAGAAGCACTGGGGAGATGGTAAACCGAAAAAGGCACTTGCCACGATAGCTGAGGAGTCTGACCCCAGCCAGAGAGAGAGAAAGAGAGAGAGAGAGAGAGAGAGAGAGAGAGAGAGAGAGAGAGAGAGAGAGAGAGAGAAAAGCCATCCTCTGACCTCCACAGCATGCTGTGTGCTATGCACCTTGCCCCCACATCACACAAACACGTGATAAATAAAATTTAAAAATTTAATGATGGAAAATCCCAGGCTGAGAGATGGCCCAGCGGCCAAAGTGCTTGCTGCGTCACAGATCAGAGCACCTGGATTCAGCTCTCCAGCACCCTGTGAAAGCTGAGCTTGGCAACCAGACATCTGTCATTCTGGGGCTTGGGACAGAGGCAGGTGGATCCTGTAGGCTCACTGACCCGAGAATCTTCCCAAACTGTGAGCTCCAGGCTCAGTGAGAGGCTCTGCTTCAAACACTACGAAGCATGGGGTAAGACATCACCTCGGGCTTCCACATGCATGCCCGCAGTTTGTGCACCTGCACCCACACATGCACATACATGCATACACTCTTTCCCCACAACTTACTAAAGAAAACCAGCATATTCACTGTGTCAGAGTGGAAAAACATTAAAATAGAGTTGGGAAGGAAATGAATTGGTTTAATCGTTCATGTGTTCGCTCAGTCAAGCCTTCCACAGATGTTTCTTAGGAACAACCATGCTATCCACTATAGTAGAACCAGAGACACAAAACCAAGGAAGACACAGGACTCCAGACTCTCCGATAGACATGGGATTAGGCGTCTAGGCAAATGAACGTTGGACTGCAACACGAGGACTCGCCCAGACATTGGTACAAGGTTCTTGGTGACACTAGCCAGCTGGAGGATCTGTGGCCAGAGGTCAAGAGGAGCTGTAGAGGGGATGGTGAGATGAGAATTCTGACTGCTGGGCCTGTGCTGAGCAGAAATGGAGACTGAAGGTGTAGAAGGCAGTACTGGGGTCGCTGCCAGAGTCTGAGCCCAGCCGTCCAAGGACTGCTTCTGTGGACTGCTTTAGAGAGGCGCCCACCCGCCTTCCTATGGAGCAGAGGTAATGGAGGGCTGCTGGACTCCACAAGCGAATCCCAGCACACCTTCAGCAGAGCACTGGGTCTAAAGCTGCATTGAAGAGGCAGAGAGCAGCTTCCACCACACCTCCCTTGGGGACAAGTCCCCAAAGCTGCCACAGGGCAGACAGGGAGGAGCCGAGGGCCCTGAGCTGGTCTTTTCAGGCAAACACATTAGAAGCCTCTCCTTAGTGAACAGGGGCCAGACACTGTCAGTGAGAATTTCATTACAATCCAGTCACACAGGCTCCCCTCAGTCAAAGAGCCACTGATGTAAAGATACAGGACTGCCTCTTAATGCCAGGGGGCAGGAAGGTGTCGGATTCCAGAAACAATGAAAACCAGGGAAGTGGGCAGCTCACCAGTCCCAGCCTCTCTCAATCTCAGCTTATCTCCGGGCATCTGCTTTTCTTCCTTCCCTCTGCCCCCTCTGTCACAGCACAGCAGGCTAGGCCACCCACTGTTTCCACATTACAGCTCCCATGCTGTGGAAAGCCTAGGACTCTCTTTGAACACAATTTCATGTGTGATCTCTGACTCAGCTGAGGGCAAGAGAACAGGGGTCATGCTGAACAGGTGGCTGATAGGAACTACCACTGTGGGCAAGGTGCAGGGGTAAGGCACCACAGAAGACCTCAGCCACAGCTCTTCCTATCTTTGGACCCTGGTCTCGGGAGAGAAGTCACTGCTGTGCTGGTACGTAAGCTGACAAGTCAACAAGTTCTTCGTGTGTAGAGATATTACAATCATTACAGTCATCAATAAAGATACACTATATGACTTATTTTCAGGAAAGCTCAACTCGTAAGACTGGCATGTAGCTCTCATCCCCCAGACGAGCTGCACACTGTCACAGGGTATGGAGCGACCCCTTCCTCCCATCCCTTCCATTTCTCATCTCTGAAAATCTGAAACTCACACTCCCACTTCCTTCCCAAGCTATTCTTTGCTGTCAAGAATCTGTCATGTACTCTTTGGGGCCTTGCCACATCCACAGGCACCCATCCATGGTAATGACTAGCTCTAGGAAGGTTATGTCTCGTTCTAATTTTCTTTCTGTTGTGATGAATAACTATGACTAACAGCAACTTAGAAGAAGAGAAGGTTTACCTGCTTACATTTCCAGGTCACAGTCCACCACTGGGGGAAGTCAGGGCAGGAGCCATGGAGGAATGCTGCTTGCTGACTCACTCTCTAGCTCGGTCCCAGGCTCATGCTCAGCTAGCGTTCTGACACAGCTAAAGACTACCTGCCTGTGGATGGTGCTGCCCACAGTGGGCTGGGCCCTCCTGCATAATTAACAGTTAGGGTAATCTCCCCCATACATGCCCATAGGCCAGTCTGATTTTAGCAATTCCTCAACCATGGCTCTCTTGTCAGATGACTGGAGGCCGTGGCAAGTCGGCAAAGCGAACTAGGACACATCCATATGGTGAGGATATATCTGTGTGCTCAAACTCTAAGGCTGTGAACACCCCGGATATCACTGTGAAGCTAGAGCTCTCCAAGGACTTTTGTAATTTATTAGGTCTTCACAGGAAGGGCGATATCCACACGTAGAATCATCAAAGGAATACGAGGAACTCATTTAGCTCAGGCCACTGCCTTAAACCAGGCAAAGGCGGAGGCTCTTCAAGCAAATGACCGTGTGTTTTGTTTCTACCCCCACATAAGCCAAGATGATATATCCTGGGCTTTGGAAGGAACTTGGCATGCCCTCCTCAGGGTGGGGTCCTGCTCTCCCCGATCTCCGAGACATGGGTCTCCCGGGGACTTGCAAGCTGTGGCCTCTCAGGGAAGCATACTCCAGCTTTGAATTATAATTTATATTATAATTTATAATTTCTTTGTATGAGGAATCTCAGACACTCTCCCCTGTCATGTTGCTGCCATTCAGTGGAACCCATGCCTGTCACCCTCGGCAGCCCTTCTCATATGCATCGTAACAAGCCTTTATTGCAGTTGTCCTCAGAGCCTTCTCCATGGCAAGCAGTTTACAGACCCCTTTGTGCCTGCTCCTGCCTTGCTGTGTCCTGTCACCCTTTGTGACTCTCAGCAGGTGGTACGGTCTGACGTGAGCAGGCAGCTGGGGACAGTCAATATTTTCTCCCCTTAGAGCCAATACTACAACTTTTCTTCTTAGGTTCATTTATGTGTTATGTTTACATGTGTGTGTGCGTGCATGTGTTTTGGGTGTACACACACCTGCATGAGTTTATGTGCACCACATGCAGGAGTCCCTGGAGCCCAGAAGAGGGCATCAGACCCCCTTGGAGCCAGAGTTACAGGTGGCTGTGACTCGATGCAGGTGCTGGAACCAGCCTGGGTCTTCTGCAGAGATAGGAAATGCTCTTGGCCACTGAGCTGTCTCTTCAGACCCACAACTTTTTTTTTGGGGGGGAGGCTTTTTCAAGACAGGGTTTCTCTGTGTAGCCCTGGCTATCCTGGAACTCACTCTGTAGACCAGGCTAGCCTTGAATTCACAGAGATCCACCTGCCTCTGCCTCCTGAGTGCTGGGATTAAAAGCATGCACCACCATGCCCAGCCAGACCCACAGCTTTATTAATGTATGCAATTTGAACTAGTTTGGCCTTTCTCTCTCTCTCTCTCTCTCTCTCTCTCTCTCTCTCTCTCTCTCTCTCTCTCTCTCTCTCTCTCTTTTCTTTCCTTCCTTCCTTTCTTTCTTTTCTTCCTTCCTTCCTTTCTTCCTTTTCCTCTCTCTCTCTCTCTCTCTCTCTCTCTCTCTCTCTCTCTCTCTCTCTTGGTAGAAGTGTCACGTAAGTTAAAGAAAAACTTTTTTTGTTGTTGTTGTTGTTTTGGTTTTTGTTTTTTTGAGAGGGTTTCTCTGTGTAGCCCTGGCTGTTCTAGAACTCACTCTATAGACCAGGCTGGCTTCAAACACACAGGAATCCACCTGCCTCTGCCTCCCAAGAGTTTTTAATTTTTGTGTAATTTTCAAAATAAGAAAATTAGTAGGCTGAGTGTGGACACTCAGGAAACAGAGACAGGAGGATAATTGCAAGTTCAAGACCAGTTAGTTCTATGTAGCAAGTTTGAAGGCACCCAGGGCTACTTACAGGTACTTTAGCTAAAAAATAAACAAGCAAACAAAATAAAAAGGAAAAGAAGCCGGGCGGTGGTGGCGCACGCCTTTAATCCTAGCACTCGGGAGGCAGAGGCAGGCGGATCTCTGTGAGTTCGAGGCCAGCCTGGTCAACAGCGCGAGATCCAGGAAAGGCGCAAAGCTACACAGAGAAACCCTGTCTCGAAAAACCAAAAAAAAAAAAAAAAAAGGAAAAGAAGAAGGAAGGAAAAGTTACCTATTTTTCTTGTTATGGATATATTACTTACTCAGTTATAGTGTATATTCTATCAAACATTTTCTTCATGTAGACACACTACTACATACACTTTTACAAGAGTAGTGTTAAGTTGTGGTAGATATGCTTTACACCCCTGTCAACGGAAGGTGGGGCACACTTCCCCCCCAGTTCTATCTGGGCGAGGTCTGAAGCCTGTTTGGCTCCACAGAAGATAGTGTGCTGTGGAATGTTCCGAATGCAAATGTGTTGCTCTGATTGGTCAATAAATAAATCACTGATTGGCCAGTGGCCAGGCAGGAAGTATAGGCAGGACAAGGAGGAGAATAAAGCTGGGAAGTGGAAGGCTGAGTCAGAGAGACACTGCCAGCCGCCACAATGAGAAACAGCATGTGAAGATGCCGGTAAGCCACGAGTCATGTGGCAAGGTATAGATTTATAGAAATGGATTAATTTAAGATATAAGAACAGTTAGCAAGGAGCCTGCCATGGCCATACAGTTTGTAACCAATATATAAGTCTCTGTGTTTACTTGGTTGGGTCTGAGCGGCTGTGGGACTGGCAGGTGAGAGAGATTTGTCCTGACTGTGGGCCAGGCAGGAAAACTTTAGCTACAATAGTGGATATAGCCATGGAACTCTTCATGAAACCCAGTCATCACATAATGAGGCCTGCAGCCACATAGGGGTACCACATGGAGGGCTCAAGCTAGATGGTCAGTCAGCTGAGCACACATAGGTGACCAGTCACAAGCATCAATCCTGCACATGAGGGCCCTTGAGACCTGCCAGCTGCCCCAGGGCACAGTTAATACCAAATGATGCAAACAATACAAGAACCATGAGAGTCGTCACATTTTAGACTGTTAAGTTTGAAGGGAGTTTTTATAACCACAAAACCCAGAGAATGTTTATACAGAGCTTAGTATGTGTTCGGCAGGCTGTAACTTTCAAAGTGTGTTTTAACTTGAATAACACTTGACCTTGATTGTATACTAGCCCCTTCAGTTTACAGATGAGGAACCTAAAATGTAGGGAAGTGAATAATTTCACCAGGGTCATGTGGTACATGAGTGATAGGAAAGGATTTTAATGTAGGCGGTTCATTAGAATCTAGAATCTGTGTTCTAATCCACAACACCCCAGTGACTCTCTGCTGACTTTTTAGGAGACCATACACAGGCTGGAGAGATGGCTCAGCAGTTAAGAGTACTGACTGTTCTTACAGAGGTCCCAGATTCAGTTCCCAGCACCCACATGGCAGCTCACAACCCTCTGTGATGACAGTTCTGGGGGACTCAGTGCTCCCTTCTGGCCTCTGTGGGCACTGAATGCACATAGTATTCAGACATACATGACAGCAAAATACCCATACACATAAAATAAATTTTAAGATTTTTTAAAGCCGTAAACAACTTTCATTGTCAATAAATATCAATCTAGCCAGGCATAATGGTACATTCCTATAATCCTAGCACTCTGTGGGATGATATAAAAGGATTTCAAGTTTGAGGCCAGCCTAGGCTACGTAGTGAGACCCTTTATACAACACCAAGGATGCTGAAATTGTTGAATGTCTCAAGTAGTATCACTCTTTTCACTTTGGGGATTACCTTCAGGGGATATATGTTTTATTAATGTTATCAACAGATAAAAGTTTGAATAGTAGTAGCTTAGGAGTGGGCACCACTGGGGATCTACCTGAGATCTTCCATACATGATCACCCTGCCTCAGCTTTGCAAGCGCTATGATTACATCTGAATGCTGCCACACCTGTTTGGCAGTCTGCACAGTGGTCTGTCATCCTGGTCACTAGATGCCACAGGCTGAAGAACGGTCACATTTGGATAACCTAGATCCTTGCATAAGAGCTAATTTTCAGGGCTTGGCTTCATACCCTCAAGTAGTAAATCCCTAAAACAGGCCCAGAACCTGTCTTCTGTCTTCTGTGTGGTTCTGATGATAGGCTGGGGACCCAGATTCTGACTTCCATTTCTTCTTATGCATATTGACAGCTCTGTCAAGTCCTGGACCAACTTCCAAGGATGCTAAGGCTATGGAGTCCTCTGGTAGACATTTGGGAATCTTTGGCACTAATCATCTTCCAGGGATGTTGCTGCTGTGGTGTGCTGATATGCCCCCTTCATCAACACTGAAGCCTTCGTTCATGCACCTGTTTGGAGGTACTGGCTGCTGACAGTCACAGGTGAAACACTTTTCTGTCATCTCCAGGAGGTAAAGTGTGTGCAGTCTCTGCCTGATGAGGACTTCTCAGGACTCAGCCCCCTGGTCTCAGGTGGGACACTTCCAAAGAACTGTCTTATGAGATTCACCTGAGACCTTTGTTGCCTCTCAGTGGAACTCAATCCCTCCCCTGTCCCTCTAGTCCTTTGTAACAGTCCCAAGGGCATGCCTAATACTTCCTGCACTCAATTTCCATGAGTGTTTTCTAGGGGACTGACCACAGTGGCCTTGTCTTGGATTGAATTGATAGCATAGCCTCTTGGGATCTTTCCTACTGTGGTGGCTTGGAGGAAAATGGCCCCCAAAGGGAGTGGCACTACTAGGAGGTGTGGCCTTGTTGGAGGAAGTGTGTCACTGTGTGGGTGGGTGTTGAGGTCTCTTTTGCTCAAGCTTCCCTCAGTGTGTCTGTCAGTCGATTGCCTGTTGCCTGCAAGATGTAGGACTCTCAGCTATTCCTCCAGCACCACATCTACCTGCACGCCACCATACTCCCCATCATGATGACAAGGAATTAAACCTCTGAAACTATAAGTCAGTCACCCAATTAAATGTTTTCTTTATAAGAGTTGCCATGATCATGGTGTCTCTTCACAGCAATAAAAACCCTGACTAACACATCTACCATCTTGGGCGTGAAGAGTTTCTTCATCCTCCCCCTCCTCCTCAAGTCTCTCCTCCACCTCACTGAACACTTTTTTGATTCTCACTCCGTGCGCCTGGCTGAGCTCAGCCTGGGTATTCCGAGGCTTGCTGTGCCTCCAGTGTTGGAAAGAAGGGATGGCCGTGGGAGCAGAAAAGCTGAGTGGCCCTGCCTGGTCCTCGTTCACACAATGCTGCTCTGCAGCTGTGAGTCTAGCCCATCTTCTAGGTCTGAACATGATCCAGCCGGCTCCTTCTGCCCAGATGTGTTGAAGGGCTGGGCTGCCTCTGTGGGGACTTTGGTTTTTCTGACCTGTTCTTATGAGTTTGGGTCTCTTTGCACTCAGTTCTCAGCTTCTGTGGCCCGGCTGGAAAGGCCGAAGGTGGTGTTGCGTTCACTTAGAGCACCAGTGGCCTTGGAGTGGTGGGAAACTGGAGAGAAAATCTGTCCAGGAAAAAAAATGGGGCAGAAGCAGAGGACTGAGGAAATCAGATTTCCTACCCATCCAAGGCCCCTCAAAAGCTGCTAGTCCAAGGTCAAACCAATGCTCAGAGACATGTTACTCCCTGTTGCTGAGGTTTTGTTAGATTCCGTGGCATGTCTTTTATCTTGTAACCTCTGAGAAATCTCCCTGGTTCCAGTCTGTTCTTTCTGCTCCAGGAAAACAGTCCACTTGTGCCCAGGAAGACAGATGGATAATACTTCAAATCTCCAGAGTGGTCATGAGCCAGACTGTGAATTTATTCCATGGGGATAATCTTGGAGAGTCCTGGTCTTCCTTCTTAATAACTGAGTGGCCCAGAACAAATCTCTCCAGGTCTCTAAGAGACTCAGGCCTCTCATATCACCACCTGCAGGGAGTTTTCCTTCTCTTTTGACAGCTCTGTCAACCAGCAATTGAGTGTTACCTGAAAAGTGCTGTGGCCATAACATTTTGGGGACAATACGTTCTTCCTTGGGAGAAATTCCTTTCTCCTCCAAATTGTTCTGAGGAGGCTGCTGATCAAAGTTCCCTGGTCCCTTCCTTCCGGGGTGTGTAGGAAGGGCATCCATGATAACCATAATAACATCCTACTCACCTGATCAGTGATGATTGGCCTGGGAATTCAGCCAAGGGTCAATGCCGGGGGAGGGGGGGGAGCAAGGATTTTGTTCTCAGTAAAGGTTGTGGGAAAACATTCTCTACTTTGTTGTCAAGTAGCTGTATGAATTTGATCACAAAGAGCCACTCGTGAGACCCCGAGAGGGAAGGCACTGCCCAGAGAAAAGAAGAAATAAGCTACTGAGCTGGGTGCGGTGGCTCTTCTGTAAATCCCAGCACTCCGGAGGCTGAGGCAGGAGGATTGCTGTAAATTGGAGGTCAGCCTGGGCTACATAATGAAACATCATCTTAAGAGAAAAGGAAACAGAAAAAGAAAGGAAACAAAACAGTAAGAGACAAATGCGGACACAAGGCAGGGTTTGTGTACCAGGCGCGCATGTCTTGACCATCCTGTGACTTTCCACCAACCCTCTTTCTTTGAGCTGCTCCAGAATTCCCAGAAGTTACCTGCCTGCCTGCCTGTCTCTTTCTCTCCACTGCCCTGATTTTAGTTTTCCTACCAACCTAGAGTCTTCTTTTAAATATATTTTAATGATTTATTTATTTTATGTGCATTGTTGTTTTGCTTGCATATATGTCTGTATGAAGGTGTCAGATCTCCTGGATCAGTTACAGACAGCTGTGAACTGCCATGTGGGTGCTGGGAATTGAACCCAGGTCCTCTGGAAGAGCAGCCAGTTCTCCTAACCGCTGAGCCAGCTCTCCAGACCCGACCTAGAGGTCTAATGAACAGAAACTGCCCAACAGCCTCTCTCTCTATGGCATACTTGACTAAAAAGGCGCCAGAAAACAAACAAAAAACCAAACCGAACAAACAACCCTTCAGGCTCTTTATATCTAAACTTGTCTCTGTTCCTGTCTTCCCTTGATCAGCACGGTTTGTTCTCTGTCCCTTTAGTTGTGCTAGACTCCACTACCTGGAACGGCCCAGTGTGAGGCTGTGGGTTACAGTTGTCTGACGATGAAGGGGCATGTGGTGTGGGAAGCAGTAGGAAGCTAGGCGCAGTATGCCTGGGTTACTGGGTGAGACATGGTGAGAGATCTTCATCTTGACTACCATCCTACTCTTTAACAGTGGCTCTCGGGCACGCCCAGATGCCTTTTGGAGCTCCCAGTAGCAGCAGGGCACGCCCATCCCAAGGAGCCCATGAGGGCAGCCTGCCCCGCCTTGCTGTTGGGAAATGTTCACCCAGGCCAGGGTGAGCATGATGACTCACGATATTTGTGACTCTTTGCCTCCCTTTTCAGACCTTTGCATGCCTGCCTTCTGCTCACTGTACCTTCTACTTCTTGTACTAAATCCCTTGCTTCCTAACACCTGACTGGCACACAGGTTCCGCTCCCACCATTCAGTGCTGACTGATTCGGATGGGAATGCGTGGTCCTGCAGGGGAGCACTCATCTCTTTCCTGCTGGCACCAGGCCTTCTGTATCCGTTGTTGTCCCCCTCACCAGCTGCCTCCCCTTCGTGTGTGCTGGTGGGAAGGTGCATGCTGCCTCGAGCTCCTGCACACAGTCCATGCTCCTCACCCCTCTGACCTCTGCCTGGTTCACGTTCACGCTGTGTCCTGCTCTGTGTCTGGCAGGTGGTCCAAAGATGTGACACAGGCTGGACCCAGCTATGGCTGGTGTCAGGACTAGTTTCCTAGATATGATTTCCAATTAGAAAATACTATCAGGGCACTCAAGAGGCAGAGGCAGGAGGATCTCTGAGTTCAAGGCCAGCCTGCTCTACAGAGTGAGATCCAGGACAACCAGAGCTACACAGAAACCCTGTCTCAAAAAAACAAAACAAAACAAATGAAAGAAAGAAAGAAAGAAAGAAAGAAAGAAAGAAAGAAAGAAAGAAAGAAAGAAAGAGAAAGAAAGAAAGAAAGAAAGAAAGAAAGAAAGAAAGAAAGAAAGAAAGAAAGAAAGAGGGAGGGAGGGAGGGAGGGAGGGAAGGAAGGAAGGAATGAAGGAAGGAAGGAAGGAAGAAAATGCCATCAGGGAAGGAAACTCATACCCTCAGTGTGAATTCAGTAAACAGAGTATGTAGTCATGGCATCTTAGGCTTGGAAGCCACCGTACGGATTTTGCCAGCTGGGGCAGCTGGCCCTTGTTTGTCTCCATCTGACCTCTCTGGCTTCACTGCCCCATCACTGAGCTGGGACATGGAGGCCATTTGTCAGCATCTGATGTCTGCAAGTGATGTCTTCCTCACTGCTGATTTGCCAGAGGCCCCCCTCGCGGCTGGCACTGGGGAAGGACGAGGCTGGCACATGCTCAGAGTGCCGAGTAAACACAGCAGATGGTATTCCCACATCACTCATCCTTCTTTGAACCCACACACCGCTATGAGTTAGAAAACCGGCATTAGGTAAAGGCCTGTGCTTGTTAGCTACTTAGTTAGTTAGTTAGTTAGTTAGTTAGTTAGTTAGTTAGTTAGCCAGTTAGTTAGCTAGCTGGTTTTATTTTTGAGATAGGGTCTTCTGTAGCCCAGACTGGCCTTAAATTCATTAAGAATGACCCTGTACTCCTGACTTCCTGTCTGTACCTCCTCAGTACCTTCTTACTAGCCTGAGCCATCACTCCAGTCTATGCAGCACTGGGGGTCAAACCCAGACCTTTGTGCATCCCAGACAGGTACTCTACCACTAAGCTCTACCCCAGATCCTGTGTTTCTTCTCTGTTTTTATGTATGAGTGTGTGTGTGTGTGTGTGTGTGTGTGTGTGTGTGTGTAAGCCAGAAGAAGGAGTTGGATCCCTTAGAGCTGGAGTTGTGGTGGTTGTGAGCTGCCTGATGTGGGTGCTGGGGACCACACTCAAGTCCTCTGGAAGAACACAGGTGCTCTGAACCACTGAACCAACTCTCCAGCTTCGTTCTGTTTCTGTTTTGTTTGTTGTTTTGTTTTTTGTTTTTGTTGTTGTTGTTGTTTCCCAGACAGGGTTTCTCTGTGTAGTTTTGGTGCCTGTCCTGAATCTCACTCTGTAGACCAGGCTGGCCTCGAACTCACAGAGATCCGCCTGGCTCTGCCTCCTGAGTGCTGGGATCAAAGGCGTGCGCCACCGCCAACGGGCAGTTTTTTGGTTTTATTAAGTGAAGAAAGAACTAGGGTGTAGCTCGATGGCAGTGCCAGAGCCTAGCTGTCTGAGGTCCTGGGTTCTGTCCCCAGCACCAGAACAAGGAAATGAAAGAGGGAGGAGCATGGAGAGGTGATGCCACTCTTCTCCATCTCGGGGCAGTGCCCAATCGAAGAGCCTCCCTGACAATGGACACTTTGAGGGATATCTTAGAAAGACACCGTTTGGAGAGGTTGCTGAGGCGAGCCCACGGTTGTTTCTTTAGACACCTCATCATGGAGTAGATGTCCATCAGAGTCCCAGCAACTATCCTAAGCACTAGAAAGGACCACAGGAGCACATGGAGAGTACCAACGGTCAGGGAAGAGGAGACAGGAACCAGTGGGGCCATGAGACCCAGCGCACAATGGTGAGCTTGTGGGATGACCCACAGCCCACAGCCCACAGGCCTTCCATAGAGCTCTTCAGGGACTGTTTAGCTCTAAGCAGCTTCTGTCCAGGAGGCTTTTCTTGGGAGAATCCATTGGTCACTCTGCTTGTCCCTAAAAGCACTCATGAAGGTCTGGGTGATAGATTTGGAGAGAAGGGAAAGGTCTAGTAAAGACTCCCATGCTCAGAGCAGCCAGGCTGTGTCCTCCACAGTCAGTATAGCTCAGTAGAGCCCTCCACCCCTCAGCATAGCTCTCCTATCCATCCTCTCAGCTGCCTGATCCAGAAGACAGCTGGGAGGTGTTGACAGAGGTGTGGCTGAGGACTGTGGGCTTCCAGTGCCTTCCCCACTGACATCAATCATCCCAGAAAGAGGCTGGACCAAGGC